TGAAGGTACATTGCAGTAGACATTTCTGTTTTTAAATGGATACAATGCTCACCTTAATCAAGTCAAAATTAAGAGGGAAAATAGGATGTCATTACTGCCTTTCTGTGATTATATGGTTAACACTAAAATATACCCCATGCATACAGGGGAATAACATCCTGTGTGCAAGACCTGGTTGCTGGCTCTAAAATGAAGTGAACCTTACTGCAGATTTGATCTGCAGTCACCATACACTTCTGTCACAAGAATTACTGATCAGTAGCTCAGAAGGAACAGAAGAGGGCAAAGGAATCTAAAAGGCTTTTAAAAGCAATATTCAAAAGAGATTTGTAGCAAGGATGCGAAATGTGTAGTATCAAAGGGAAACATATTCGCATAAAATGAGCAATCGTTTGGCTTCTGTTCACATGCAAAATCTACTTTGTCCATATAATGAGTGAGCAGTCTGCTTCAATGCGGGAGAAGCGTGCAAGTGATCTAGCTCTCTCTGGACGTGGAGAGAGGACACAAAGATGCTGCCTTTTCTGCAGCTATCATTCAAGCACAGCCACCCACACCCAGCACAGAGAGGGCCAATTCACCCACTACCTGGTGCTATTGCCATGCTTTGGCCCACTGAATTTTGTCCAGCACCCGGGAGCATGGAGCCCCCCTCGACACAAGGAATTCTTATGGCACTCCATCAATCCAGCAACAGAAAATCAAGTTACTGAAAATGATTCCCCGTATCAGTACAACCACAACCAGGTCCCTTCAGGCCAAATACAACACCATGCCAGCTCTCTTTTAGCAGAAAATAGAGAAACATGAGATTGTCATTATTTCAATAGGAATGGCAAACCCTCTTGTCTGTTCTGGAGAACAAGTCTTACGAGGAGCAGCTGAGGGAGCTGGGCTTGTTCAGCCTGGAGAAAAGGAGGCTCAGGGGCGACCTTATTGCTCTCTACAGGCACCTTAAAGGAGTCTGTAGCAGTTGAAGTGGTTGAGTCACCATCCCTGGAGGTCTTTAAAAGACATTTAGATGTAGAGCTTAGGGATATGGTTTAGTGGAGGACTGGTTAGTGTTAGGTCAGAGGTTGGACTAGGTGATCTTGGAGGTCTCTTCCAACCTAGATGATTCTGTGATTCTCTTCCTCCAGAAGAAAACCATGCAAAAACAGCCTTTCCAGCTCGACGGGAGTTATTCTGGGTCAGGAACCCACACATGCCATAACCTGGCATTCACAAAAGAGAGCTGCACACGTCTTCTTACACTTTAGATTCAGCATCCAGACCGTGGGTAGCACAGCCCTTTACCTTTTTCCTTCACTGAAACACACGATCTCTTATCTAGGTATTAAAATAAGCCAACTCTTCCTCCAGTCCTCTCAGCAGATTAAAACCACCCTGATTCCATAAAGATTTTCTGATTACTTCCCAGCAAGTAGCCAGCAAGTGTAGAATCATAGATAAAGGTCATTCTTCTTCCAAGCACTCAAAGGTATGACATTACGTTGTGGGCAGCTTTAATAAAAACCGAATCATCATCTTATCCGCTCTTGTCTATCAAGTACATCCATTGTTTGCAACTCTTCACAAATTCAATTTTCCATTATTTCTTATTATAATATATATATATTTAGATCAATTGAAAGAGTAGCAAAATATACATGGAATATCAACTTTTTCTGCTTTCTAATACACTTAGCTTTTAGAATTCATCCTGTGCATCCTGCAACTTCGTGTGATTGATACAACTGTTATAGAGTGTGGTGAATAATCTCTCCGGTATTCTGGGTTAGATAACTTACATTTTCCTCTAGCGGATAAGGCACAAATCTAGATTTTGGAAATGCATTTAGGGGCAAAAGAAGGGCAATAGAAAGAAAAGATCATGATGGGTTTTCCCAAGGCCTGTTCAAACCCACTGGGATCACCCCCTTTCCTACGCTTCCCACCCTGAAAAACTGACACTTTCAAGCCAATGAAAAGGCTTTGGGTTGAAATAATAAGTTGTCCTGCTTCTGGCTGGGAAAGAGTTAATTTTCTTCCCAGTAGGTGGTGTGGTGCTGTCTTTTGGATTTAGGATGAGAATGATGCTGATAACACACTGATGTTTAAGATGCAGAGCAGTGCTCTCACAGAGCCAAGGACTTTTCAGCTTCTTGTGCTGCCCTGCAAGCGAGGAGCCTGGGAGGGGACAGAGCCAAGACAGCTGGCCCAGACTGGCCAGAGGGATGTCCCATGCCATGTGGCATCCTGAAGAAAAATAAAACTAAGGGGATTTGTCTGGAGGGGCTGCCAGTGCTCAGGGACTGGCTGGGCATCACTGGTCAGCTGGTGGTGAGCAATTGCGCTGTGTGCCCCTTGTTTTGTTGTTATTGTGTTGTGTTCATTTATTTTCTCTGCCTTTTTTTCCTCCTTTCTTACTAAAGTGTTCTTACCTCTACCCATGAGTTTTTGCACTTTTCTTTTCTATTTTCTCGCCCATCCCACTGGGCAGAGGGAGTGAGCAAATGGCTGTGTAGTGTTTAGCTGCCTGCTGGGTTAAACCACAACATAAGTGAATGCCATGTCTGGACCAAAATATATTAGCCTAGCTCTGCGAACAACATTAACTCCAAAGCCAGTTCTATAATCACTCATCAGCACAGTATCTGGGGAAGGAATGGGTAAAATAAGGCAGAGGGATCTATTCTGTGTTTTGAATTCTTCCCTGGCAAACAGACACTCTCACTTAAAGCAGAGGAGCTTGCTTTGAGTAGTTTTTAAAAGTATAAACAGAAGCAACCCTATTAAAAGCTTTAAAATAACATTTATTCAGTTGATATGAGAAAAAAGAATCTATTACTTGGAAAGTGCTTTTCCCACTCTCACTTTTCAACCATTATTCACATACAACCAAAATTACATCTGAACAAATCCCACTGCCCTTCTTTACATACTATACAGCATTATTTATTATCATATAGGATCCTTAGTATAAAGCATAACAGAACACTTCACTGATAGAGTTGATGGTGAATTAAAGAGGAGAGGAAGCTTTTAGTGTAAAAATTCAAGAGGGGGAACAGATTCCCAAGTCAGATGTGGAAGGACTCAGAAATGGAAGGCTGTTTATCCTCTGCTAATGAAGAACAATGGGTGGAAGAGAGGGAAGAAGTGGGAAGTGGTAGATACCAACATCTGAAGTGTGCAGCTGGGTGAGAAGACCATGGTATGAGTGGATAAAAGCATAGAAGATGAAGTTCACTTGAATTAGACTTATGGACATTGAGCAAACTAGATATAACAACAGTGCATTGTGGGGAAACTGCTCCTTTTATTGCAGAGAGAGGTAGGAGTTAAATTTTCCCCTGTGCCACAGGCTTTCTGGTTGGTGTCAGGGATGTCACTCAGTCTGCACCTCAGTTCCTCATGCATAAAGGAAGGTACTGTGCAGAAAACCCACAGATTGTTCAGTGGACAGTAAAGTGATAAGGGTAAGATATGACACAGACAACTATACCTAACTGATCTCTGATGAAGTGAAAAAAAAATAAAAAAGAGACTGGTTATAGAGACCTGAATTACCTTAATTTGAGAAGAACACAAATATTACAAAGCATGACAGATGGTTGTATGAACAAAAGAAGATAAATGTCTCACCATTAAAGCCTGAAGAAAAAGTAAAATTTGGCCAATATAGGAAGGATGACAATGCACAGACAGATATATTCAAATGATGAAGCTGACTGAAATTAAGAGCAGAATGAGTATGTGAACATACCCTCTCAAAGAAATGCTCTCTAATTTCAGGAGGTGATATTCGTGCAGCAGTTACTACTATGAATACTGCACACAACCTACTCACACCAAATATACAGAAGAAAAGCATGGGAAAGTTGTAGACAGGAAGAAACAGTGTTCCTGTTTGTGGATGGAGGAAGGAAAGGGGCAGGAAATTCCTTCAAAAACAGAGAAAATTGGGAATAGGCCTTTTCCACATGCAACTACTTCAGCCTAAGAAGCTTGCACACTGGGATTCTTCCATTCAGATGTGAGTTACAGGCAGAACAAAGGTTGACTGGTACAAGTGGTTATTAAATAAGATACAGGTAGTCACAAGATGAACCTTATGTACCAGAAGAAGCAAGCAAAGGAGACAAGCAATCTGCAAACAGACTGACTGGTTGCAGAGAGGATCAGAGGGGCAGAGGAGACAGACAGCTGATCAGAGATGAAATTTTCCCTGAGGGCATGAACAGCCCTCCTGAATACATACAGGCTTATGTGAGAAGGTTTGAGCATACAAAGGGGCCAGGAGGAAGAAAGGAATGGATGGCACTGAGGCAGCATGTGGTCAGTGTGATAGTATTTCCTTGTAAAATGCTGGAAATCTTTACTATACCTCTGACCACACACCTCCTCTCTTGCCCTCCATTATCTGTTCTAACCAATGTGTAGAAAAGTGCTTTTCAATATAGATGTGTATAAAAGTAAAATAAGTAACCAACGGTATATGTAAAAGCCCTTGCTAACCCCAACTTCATCCTTTTCTATTTCTTGTTTTCAGAGTGCAAAGCAATATATGTTAACTGAGAGAGGTATGCCCATATCCCCAGCAGCCTGCTCCTGCCCTAGAAAGTCTAAAAAGACAAAACAGACCGTGGGTGGGAGAAAGCAAATAGCATTGCTCCCATATTACAGATTGAAAACCAAGGAAGAAAACCAAGGATTTTCCCAGGAAGTAAGTGGCAGAATTGGATACTGAAACCCTCTCTCTTCAGCATCCATTCGGTGCCTCAGTCACAAGGGCATTGCATTTCTTTTTAAGATGGTCTCTTTCATTCTCAGTGTGCTGGTAACAGGAGCCTTTGACTGCAATGCATACACTGAGTTTATATACCTTTAAGTTTTAGGAACCATGTTGTACTCCTCCCCACCTCTATTTCCAGCTGTCTTGCAGTGACTTTTTGTCTGAGTTCAAATGAGCAGTACTACCACCTCTGGCCACAAAGAGGACCTTTCTATCTACTTACAGTTCTGTTGGTGAAGTTACTGAAGTCTGTCACTAAGATTTGCTTGATCATCTCTGGTGTGGAGACCACCACAAACATTTGGCGACCAATGTAGTATCTGAAAGAAAGGAAGTAGAGAGACATTTTAGCAGATAACATCAATGAGAGAATCATCACCTTCTCTAAAATCCCTCTCTTGGCTTGAAAATACTTGCCATGAGCAAATACTACAGAAAATATATTCCCTTGTGTAGATCAGTACCTTTCCTCGTCCCTCTCAACTATTAAATTAAGATGCATGGTCCTGGAATTTAAAGGAAACAGCTTAAAACCTTTTACTGATTAATCAATACTTAGCCAGCATTTTAACCTAATGGTTTACACACTCTGCACTCACTTGTGAATTCTGGACAAAGTGATGCAGTATCACTAAACCTAACTACACAGAGGCAAAGCATGAGTAACCAACAACTCCAACAGTCATGAAAGACCTGCAACATCAATTAGCCTTCAGCTAGTCATACAAAATGTCCCCCCAGCGTGGCTGCAGTAAAGGCACGCTTCCACCACTTCTATTGGAAGCACTGGAACTGAGCGCATCTCAGACCACAGGCTCATCATCACCATGAACACACCCACCTAACAGATACCAAAGGGAGAAAAGAAAAACGAATAAAAAAGCTGCAAGGTTCACCAAGTATAAAGAAAGTAATAAAACTTTAGGGCAAGACTGGGTGACAGGGGTGACTCACTCTCTGCTCACACACCTTCTATCTCCCTGCTCCCAGTTTGATCAGATCTTGTGGTGCCAGGATCCATCCCTTGGGGGGCTTGACACCACAGTGGGTGCTACAGAAGTACTGGGACCCACCCCACACCCCACAGCTCCGAGGGGCACAGAGCTCCCTTCTCCAGCAGGATTCCCCCAAGGCCCACGGCCACTCCAGGACTGCTTGGCTGCTGTGCAGGGGGAGGAAGGAGCACGGCCAGCAAGCAAAGGTTTCCTGCTGTCCCTACCTTTGCTGGTTGCTGGGCCAGAAAGACTGTGCAGGTGGTGCTGCCTCTGCTCTGCCAGGAGAGAGGAAGAGGAGGCTGGAGGCAGGCACAGGAAGGCTGGGCAGCTCACAGCACAGCACAAGAGCAGTACCACAGATGCTGCAAGACTGCGGTAATATCAACGCCTGATCATTTTGGTACGATACAGCTTAGTATCAATGTGTTGCTTATCACCTGTCTACATTGCAGCAACAGAGCAGACAAGCAAACCCTGGGCTGAATTAAATTTAGTAACGGGAGGTTCCCATGGCAATGAAGCTGCAGCAGCACCGATTCCACCAGGGGCAAACAAGTCAGACAAATATCTTGATTCCAAAGCAGGGTTTCACAGTCCACCTTGACCTCCATACCACCAAAACTCATAAGAAACAAATAGAAGAGAAGAGTAAGAAAAAAAATAATCTTCAGGAAGGAAGAGATCTTCTTTTCATGTTTGGTGGGTTTCCAGAGAGAACAGTTATTTCCCAAATCCAACCCACAGGCTCCACTTGTACCTTAGACATGGGTTCAAGATATTCTATTAAAAATAAACCTTTCTCACCTCTCCCAGTTTGCTAACTCATAGCAAAGTATCTGTCTTTTAATGGTAAAAGTTTTCTTCAGAGTCCTGAGAGTTGCCTAAGGAAGAGCTGAGGTCTCATTCTCAATAGAGTTTGGATCAACCCTTGGCAAAAGATGATAATACCCCACATGTCCCTTCCTCACATACTTTGTACAACTTCTCTGATGTTAGAAAGGCAAAGCAGGCTCCCAGGGTGAAAATCTGCACCCCTCCGAGACTACTCAAGATGATCAGCCATGAATAAGGGTCTCTTGTACTGATCTCTTTTCACACTTCATGTTTCTTTTCCCCTCCCCAGGCTTAGCAGTGTCTCATTTAATGGTTAGTGACTGGTACCCCAACACACAACTTTCCATAGGGGCCAAATCCCTAGCACCAGAAGCCAATTGTGTCTACCCAGATATTTTAATCCTGAGCACCAAGAGACACCTGTGCATGACACCTCTTCTTACTTCAGTCCTGGGAAGTAGCAGAAAGCCTGCTCCAGTCTTCTGGAACAAGGGGACAGTACTCACAGTCAGAGCCCTTATGTCACAGTACGCTTTGTGCTCGAAGGTATTCAGGACTAAGATTTGGGACAGGAGCATCTCCTGCTCAAGCTGTTTTTACAAGAAAGTGACTCACAAGCCAAGCTTATGCAAACAAATCTATTCATCATCCTCCAGCTCAGACCAGTCATCCGAACTCCCAGTTCTGCTTCCACAGCTAAACTCTTTCTTTTTTATTTACTCTAACTTTCTGTCTATAGGCATCCACTTTCCCCTTCATTATCCAGATATAAATAAGGGCAGGGAAAAAGAAAGAAGAAGAAGAAAAAAAAAAACCCTTAAAATTAATAAATTGAAAATACTGAAAAAAAAATATATTGCTTTTTAAACAAAGTTCTGCCTGCTTTTAAGAAACAACTGCTGTAAAACACACTCAGATGACAATCTTCTATTGTATCCCACACAGTCAAAGATCTCTTCCTGGCCTTTTTTCCATTCTCCTACTTTCTGAGTATAATCTTTCTAATGGGACACAGAAAGAAGCACGTTTGGACATACTTTGGAAGTCAAAACTAGGAGCAAGACTTCCATGCTCTTCCCCTGAGGTTAATGAAAAAGGACAAGAGCTAAGTGTGAAACAAGATTGTATGAGCTATTTCATTTACCAAACACAGGTCTAGAACTTGCAAAACCACCAGAAATACGCTTAACGGAGTTTTAATACACTTAAAATCCTTTGCAGGATCAAGGCCTCAGTCTCAAACCAAAATGGTATCTCCCAGCTATAGATTTTTTTTTTTACTTGATTTGAAATGGCAAATAAAAGATAAAATCCTCCCGAACAATAATCCATTCTTCCAAAGTAAATAACATATTCACCCCTGCCATGTTACTTCATTTTTATTCTGTATTACTACACGAGGATATCACCAACCTCGCGCAGACTTAGATTTATTATTGAACAAAACCCGATATTCTTGTCAGATTTTAATAAATAAGAGTTTGAGAAAAACAAAAGCCTCCCAGCAAGTGCATTACAAATGGATTCATGAATAATTTAGGACACCACTTTTTATTAACTTTCTCTAGGTTAATCTTTTCACGGGGCTTGTCCACATGCTGAAGTCCTGCCTTTAACTGCAGCGCTACAGTACCACTACGCTGCTCAACCCAACCCTCCGTCGTGTTTCCATACAAGGCACTGAGAGTGCAATAGAGGTGCTTAGGCTATTGCCTCGTTCCTGCACAGAAACACAAATGTGTGAATATAGCACGGTGTCCTCAGAGCAACACAACTCTGTCCACACGGGAATCGGTTGTAAAGACACCCGTAAAAACAAAAATTTGTGACGCACACAAGTGTGATTTCAAGCGTAGATGAGGTCTCACTTTTTTAGGCCACCCTGCAGGGGCGATTTCTCTTAAATTCCAGTTTAAAATGCAGTCCTCCAAACTAGAGGAAAACATCCCCATTTTTAGACCAGTGGTTTTAGATCCATTGCAAGATGAGGCAGGGCAGACGTGGTCCATTGAGAGCCTAAGGACAGCATGGGCCTGTGCCAGGGGACAAAGCACCATCACCCCAGAGGCTGCTGGTGCAAGAGGCATGGAGCCTGCGATGCACCAACCCAGGGAGGGCTGCACAAAATGGTTTTCAGAAATGTTCAACAGAGGGCACGGATTTACTCCCAGAAGTTATGGAGAAGCCAGGCTGCCCTCCAGCGTGTTTACCAAAGGTCAAGGGGGTGGTTACGCTGTGGAGTATTGAGCAAAGGAAGTTAATCTGCATCCAGAGTGTTTTAGTAACTTCAGAGGCTACAAATACCCGTCACCTGCAGCAGTCTGGTTTGTAGGAGCAGTCTCCGTTCAAATAGCAGCTGATGAAAGGGACACAGACTTCTACTTGGTTCAGGTTTCATGCAGGACGCTGCACTCCTCCTTGCACTTATCTAGTCCTTTAGCAGCTACGTCTTTTCTTTTATCCTCCCGGATAAGCAGCGATCTGGCAATGACTTCTGCTGTTTCCCACATGCCCCACCAGTGCTTCTTGAAGAGCTGCGGCCCTGGTAAGACAAGGGCCCCATGGAACAGCCCAACCCCTGCAGCGCCCAGGCAGTCCTGGGACTCCTGGGGGCACAGCTTGCTGTTCCCAGGTGATGTAGAAGATCCAGCAGCTGCTTGCAAATCCACAGAAGCACCACCTCACTGCATGGGGAAAGCCAGAGAGCACACAGGGCACGCCATGGCAAAGGGCCACGTGTTTTGGGTAACACCCGCATGGGAAACACCTGCAACCCTTTCACCTTGTTTATAGCGCTGCTGTCAATTCACAGAAGACTTTGATCTCCCTATCTATTATCAGTCCTGTGGATTACAAACACAGCACATTCATCATAAATCACATATATGTTGTTAGGCAATAAACAAGGTTTTGTTTTCTATGCTGCAGCCTGGTAAAAGTACACAAAGATCATCTGGAAAGCTAAATGAAAAAAAAAAAAAAAAAAAGAACGGCACCAATTTTATTATCTCCATTTTCCTCAGGGAAGAGCAAAGAACAAAAAGAAAGACAGAAAAAAAAGATATATGTTTGCATACTTAGAAATACACTGGAAAAGGCTAATTTTCTTAGGAAATGTTTCCAAAAAATAAAAAATAAAAATCCTCGATCACTCTGCCTCTATTATTTAGAAACACTCATATTTAGAAACACTCATTCACCGCAGGCAGAAAAATGCAAAAAATGAACAGCACGCTGCTTGTGTAAAATAGGACTCAAGGCTGGTGTTACTTGGTTAATTATTTCAGAGGTCAGTAAATTGATTTGTCACAAGCACCGTCCCCTCCTGGCTCCTGCTGGCAGCTCAGACTCGGCAGGACTAAACGATACATAACTAAGAGCTGCAAAGCCCAAACACAGCCTTCGCAGAAATGGCTACTTCAGTCCAAGAGGAAAAAAAAGAAAAGGAGGGGACAAAAAATTGCCAGGTACCCATGAGTCCAATTATTATT